AAAAAAAAAATCTAAGTACTTAAAAAGTAATATTTTATCTTATTCATTCAAGGTTGAACCATCGGATACAATTGAAAACGTCAAGGCTAAAATTCAAGATAAAGAAGGCATTCCACCAGATCAACAACGTTTAATCTTTGCTGGTAAACAATTAGAAGATGGTCGTACACTTTCAGATTACAATATTCAAAAAGAATCAACACTTCATTTGGTTCTTCGTCTTCGTGGTGGTATGCAAATCTTTGTTAAGACACTTACAGGCAAAACAATTACACTTGAAGTTGAACCATCGGATACAATAGAAAATGTCAAGGCTAAAATTCAAGACAAAGAAGGTATTCCACCTGATCAACAACGTTTAATTTTTGCTGGCAAACAATTAGAAGATGGTCGAACATTATCCGATTACAATATTCAAAAGGAATCAACTCTTCATTTAGTTCTTCGTCTTCGTGGTGGTCAATAAATAACATATTTATTTCATAGACAAGGCTCTTCAAAAAGAAAAAAAAACCAAAGCCAACGTCGATTAAATAACATTTCTTTTTTTTTTCATTTTATTATACCAGTTATGCTTACGTATTGTGAAATCAGTTTTTTTTCTTTATTATATATATATCAACAAAGCTAATAAACATCCATAATTTGTGAGTGAAAAAATATAATTTTTATTTATTCTTAAATTTTTAAAGTGTTTTTTGCAAAATGACACGCTTGATAAAAATACATCAATATGCTATTTTTGATATACAGTTACAATCATATGTCAAATAGTTTATTGAGTAAGATAAAAATATAATGTTTCGGTTGTTACATATGAATAAATGAGATACAAAAAATAGAACAAAAGTAATATCTATACATAAAATTGAATTGACATTTCTTATACTAATAAGATGACAATAATAATAGCTGGATAAGTTTCAATCGTTTTTTTTTTTATTGAATCAATTCTGTGTCTTTTTTTTTCAACAATAATATGATATTCTTTGTCAGTTACAGTGCATACAAAGTATTCATAATACGACTAAAATATTTTCTATAAAAAAAAAAGTTTCGATATTATTTTTATTTGATTAAAATTTTGTTTTTTGTGTAATTATGAATCATAATAATTTTCTAGTTCTTTACTAACATATCAAAAATGATAAATTACGTATATCGTCTGAGTACTGTAAATGATAACAAAAAGTCACATTTTTTTTTGTTTTACATCTAAGATTCAAGGTTCGTGCAAATAAAAATTAATTAACTTATTTAGGCAAGTTTAGCATCTACGCATTAAAACAATTTTATTCACTTTTTGAATTGATGTATAATTAAATCTGCTAATCATATTTAGAAATTGTTTTTTAAACAATACAAAATGGACATGACTTATTTTTTATTTCAAAAGTTGATAGATGGTACACATCATTTCGTGCAACTTTTTTTTATAGAAAAGGATCAAGTGAAAGTTTCTTCGATATCGTATTAATGGAAAAAAGTGGCGGCAAACTTTATTGAAGATATCTTTTTGGGAAATTCATTGTTGATTTTTTCACATTGTTGTTCATTGTGTAAAAAAAAAAAATTAATATCGAAAACCGATTTTCTATTGATATTTTTCGTGTGAAAGATAAAAAATGATTATGATTATGAATAACCTTGTATATGATATTTATTGAATTTCATTAAATTAATTATCTGAGGAATAATAATTTTAACAAAACAATTGATCAATTTACATTCATACATATCAATAAAGAAGTTATAAGAAATAAATATTTTATTTTATCATTCATTTCGGTTTGATAAATAAATAATGATAATATAAGAGAAGAATATAGTTTTTTTTTTGAATTGAAAAATTTAGTAAAAATTCGATATTAAAAGCAACTCTATGCCTAAGGTAGATCTTAGTAAGATATGAAATGTCTCAAAAGGATTTATGAGAACCTTAGATCTTTGGAATCTCGTAAAAGAAACATTCTTTTAAGCTGATATTTTCAGAACATTCAATCAGATCTATTTGTGAACGAAATATCGTCATTCAATTTGTTGATACATATGGTATCATAGCTAAAACTCTAGTAAAATGTCTAGAACTCTGAAAGAAAGGTCTCATTTCTCAGCTGAAATAATTTCCACGTTAGATAGAGAGATTTCGGATCTATCGTTCAAAATACACTTCAAAGGACTGTCTCGTCAATCAAATAATACCAAGCTGTGTTGATTTTTAAGCAAATTTTCTTATTCAAATGCTCTTGTCTTATATTTTAATTTATGAAAATTCGTCGATTATGAGCTACTACTGTTGTTCACATATTCATACTAATTTCATCCCTCTTTTATTCTCGTATCAATACTGATGATTTTTTATTAGTCTATTGTTGTTGATACTAATCCACTCTTAGCTAATAATAGTTAATCATAATACTGAATTGCTACTTTCAAGACTAAAGCCTTTGCTCTTTAGTCTTCGGTATATCCTTGAATAATATTAGTCTATTAAAAAGTCAATAATAATGATTAGTGGTTAGTATATTATAGTTAATAAATAGTTGATGATAAATTTATTAGCCAATAATAATCATAGGAATTTTTATTGAAGGTCCTAGGCAATTGAAGTCTAGGAAAAATTGAACATTTTTGAATGTTAGACTAATAATGCTAAATCTAATGCTCGAAAAAATTCAGAAGTAGTCATTGATAATGAAAAGCGATTAGAAGGTAATAATTTAGTTTCATTATATTTTTTCTTCAATTAATATGGTACAATATATCAAAAATGATTTTTCTGTATTAGGATAAAAAAAAATGTTTTTCCAGAAGGTAATGTTATAATTTCAAAAAACATCAACAACTAATTTTACACCCATACCCTCGAATACAGAAAATTCGTAAAATTTTGTCAATCATCGGCAGAGAAAAATTCCTTTGTTGAGGCATTCCAAAGTAAATCTGATTTAAAATGATAAATATCATAAAGTATTGAAAAAATATTCAAAAATGAAGCTGAAGAAATCTGCTATCAGAAATAGAACACAATCATTATGGAAGGAAACTCTAAAAAAAGAAGTATATTACATCTGCTTTGAAAAATATTTAAAAAAAAAAACATTGACATGTTTCAAATTATTTTATGTTCGTATCTAAAAACGCTAATGATCGTCATATTAATTATTGATTATTTTTTCTATCAAATCTTTAAAAAAGAAAGTATTACGTTTTGATATTCATCGTTTGAAATGAGATGTAATTTGAACTGTCTAATAAGACAAATTTTGATCTACGGATGTGTGGTAAAATTGAAGAAATTTTCTGAATTCGACACTGAAAAACTTTCTTAAATCCATTTTCAACACACTTTAATTTGGTATAAAGTTAGTTGTTGATGTTATTGAAAATCATAGCCTTATTCTCCTGGAAAAACATTTTTATCCACCCGGTACTGTTAATGCATCAATATATTGGATAGAAACTATAAAAAATTTTCGTAAATGGTATGCATTTGAAGTTCTCTCGTACTCACTCCAGATAAAAGTTTCATTTGTAAATTGAAATAGCACATTTAAGAAAAAGTCTCAATAAATATTTCAATGAGAAATTTTCTTGATCGTTTCAATTCAATGTTGGTAATATTTCGAATACATTTATTCACTAGGAAACTGGTCAAGCTTTTCTACTTACATTAGAAAAAGCATTCAGAAGATCCAAATTCATGCATCGTAGATACAGTTTTCTGACTATTGATTTTAAACATATTAGAGTATTCGATCTTATAACATAAAAATCTGTGAGACTACTAGAATTTATTCATTGATAGTTTGTCATACATTTTTAATTATGTTACAACAGAGCTATAATTCTGGAAAACTATTTTTAACATTCGCTAGTTCCCTATTTTCAGTGTTATTCGTTCTATTTGTGAACAATTAATGAACTGTAAAGAAAAGTCTTTAACCATAAATGAAAAGATCTCTAATCTTTATCTAGTCAATCTCCTTGCTTGGCATGAACTTGATGAGAGAATATTTGTGTTTCATCACGATCAACAAAATTTATTTCAATTTCACAATTTTATAATACAAAATAATAAATAACAGCAGTGTCACATATCCAAAATTTTGGAGATGCCACCGCGTCTCCTGAGGGAGATGCCGTATCTCTCGCGGGAGACGCGAGTGTGGGTGTGGGGGATGCTCATCTCTCAAGAAGATCTTACATCTCCAATGACGAACAGCCGCATCTCCTGGGTGTGGGTGCCGCGTCTCCCGCGAGAGCATCGGCATCTCCCTCAGGAGACGCGGTGGCATCTCCAAAATTTTGGATATGTGACACTACTCGAAATGTGACTTTTTATTCAAAACTAGAGTAGACATGACGACAACATCAGACTAAAATTGTTGGCGTATAACTGCGACATTTTCATTGTATTTACCTTTCTCTTCTGTTATGTGCGCGAACGCAGCTATTAACTATTACAAATATACAACGAAAAAAACCAAAAATGTTTGAAGAAAGTAAAAATATTGCTAATAAAGTGTTAATAATCGACGGGTATTATGCATATAATCTGTTCGATTCGAAGGCCTATTTTTTCGTTCTGTATAAGTATGAAAAATAATTATTACGAGTCAAGTCAAAAGAAAAATATAGAAGAAAACTGAATGAAAATAATCAGTCGAGAAATGAAGAACTTTGAATGATTTCTGATGCTCGATGTTTGTGGATACAATACTAAAAATCTCGACTGATTGCATAAAAAAAATGTAAAAAAGTATATTGAATAGTTTTTTTTGTATATTTCAAAGAATGACGTAGTATTCAAATGCCGTTGTTTCCATTTAATCATCTTCGATCGTTGACAATACGGCGGAGATATTCAATTTTTTCTTCGGTTTCAAATATGCTGATATCGTTGAAATGTTTTCTGAGACATCAAGCAATTGATTTATGTCATATTTTATTCTATGCACAGTGAATTATCAGCAGAATTTTAATAAATATTTGGGATTTCTGCAGAAAATGCTTATACTCTATGATTTGAAGACTACAAATATTAATTATAAGTTTTATTCAATTTTTTGTATTCTTTCCGATGGTTCTGTTTGAAGTTCAAAAACAATAGAGTCATGAAAACGATAACAACTAAGAAAACCAAAAATATCTATCAAGTATACATAACCTTTATCCAATTTATTGCCAATGCATTACGACAGTTACAAGTATTTAGGACTGCCCTCTATCCATAGGACGGATTGGCTCCTTGTTTCTCTCTATCTTTCCTTTTCTTATCGCTTTCGACACCTCGTTGCATGCACGCATGCAACGTAAGGATGAGAATAGGCATAACTTGAGTATAAAAAGCGGATGCCAAAGTAGAAATATATTTGGTGTATTGTGAAAACAGTAAGAATATCTGCCTTTCATTATGTCCAGAGATATTCGTCCAGTCGATAATTACTGCCGATCATATTGGAT